ACACACACACACACACACACACAATTGTAAGTTTCAATCTAGTACGACAACAGCCAGGTCTTTGGTAACAACTGATTTGAAATCATCTTCACTTACCACACTCTCACTATGTAGTATAAAATCTCAGAGTTGGCCTCCTTGGGAGGTTTCCAGGACAATTCTACCTCAGTATCATTCAGTTTCCTGGCGATTAGGAATTTTGGAGGGGAACTGGGTACTGTTGTTTAGGAAAAACAGCTATTATTGACCCAAAACTGTGGAAAAGGACTTAACTCTTGAACGTGACAGTGATTTGAGTGAGTAAATGTTAGAGAATGTCTCCCATGCCATGAGCGGCATCCGCATTTGTCCATTCTGACAGCTGCTAATGGAAAAACTAACCAACCAAACACAGAGAAACAAGGTTCTGTCTCCTGAGGTAGAAAGAATAAACTTGGTTTAAAAGCCGAATTTATCCATGACACTGTATAAAACTCCCAGACTGCTTTCAGAAATGTCCTGTGGGAGAAATAAAAATAGTTAAACAATAATAAAACACTCCCAATTCCTGCACGCAGACCACTGAAAAGCTGTAAAAAGAAGAAATGTTTACTGTGTGACCTTGATTCTTTCTGCATCTTTAGCCAGATGCAGACACATTCACCTTGAAGACTGACACTAAAAAGGAGAAACAGCTTAATTAAGCAACACAAGGTCCGTTTGTTAAAACCGATCACTCACCATCCTCCAGTGTGGTGATGTTCAGGATCTCGCTTGTGTGGTTGCCCATGCCGACCTGTGTGGCAGCCTGCACGCTGATGCGGTAGCGTGCATACTTTCGCAGGTTGGACAGGGTGACATAAGGCACATGTGTGGTTTGGTTCAGACTGTGTGTGGCATTCCAGTATTCCACGTTGTAGAAGAGGATGATGCCGTTAGCGAGAAGGGGGGCCGACCATGACACGTTGACCTCGCTGGATCCAATGTCCTCATAGGTCAAATCGTAAGGTGGGCTGCCAGGCACTGAAACAAACAATTAAACTGCACATTAGGATGAGGTCGGTGTGCTTGGTGCAAAAATTATATCAGCCTGCGAATTGCTGATATTCGATAAAACAGTCCTCTCGCTCGTGTGATTAATAATATTAAAACATGAAGTGGGCTTTTTAATGAATTAAAATTATTTTTGTAACAGTACAGAGGGGGAATGAGATTAGAATCTGCGCTTCCCACATAAAAAGAAGGAAACATAAGCACCTTAACTCAACATGCTGGAGCTCATGCACTAAACACTAGGCCATTGCCCTTATTTGTCCTGTTTTATGGTGTTCTTGAATTTTTATTAACATAATGAACAGTACAAAGAGGACAGGCACCATGGCTCAACATGTGTGCTGGGATGTGGGATTTTATGAATGAAGGTGTATTCATACACTAACATTCAGGAGTTTCGGGTCGGTAAGATTTTTTTAATGGTTCTGAAAGAAGTTATGCCCCACCAAGGATGAATTTATTTGATCAGAAATATAGTAAAAACAGGAATAATGCGAAATATTTAAAATAGCTATTTTCTATTTTAAAATATTTTAAAATGTTCAATTTTTTTTTCTGTGATGCAAAGCTGAATTACTCCAGTCTTCAGTGTCACATGATCTTTCATAAATCATTCTAATATGCCGATTTGCTGCTCAAGAAAGAAAGAATTCTAGCGCAAACTGTGATACTTTTTAAGAATTCTCTGATGAAAAGAACGTTCAAAAGACTTTTGATAAATTTCATGTGTTCTTACTGATTAAAAGTATTAAAAAATGTTTGCTGCAACAAAGCGTCCAAAAGACATTCATCTTTATTAATAAGAGTTGGTGATTTACATTCAACTTCATGCAAACTGAGTAGAGACGCAATGCATCTGGGGTAAAGACACAAGAGTTCACATGTTTTAATGCCTTGATTAGACTTGGAATAGGAATGTCTACTAGAAATCAAACAGGACCAATACTTTAATCACTGTATGTGTGAATGCGCCTTAATTGCGTGGGATTTCAGGATGAGACTGGATTAAAGTTTTAAGCCTCTCCTAGTTTTTCAATTAAACATGAACACACACACACACACAATGACTCACCATCCTCCCCCGACAGCATCTGTAGAGTATCAGAAATCTGGTTCCCGTGTCCGTATAGCGTAAACGCACTGACAGTCACATTGTAATGTGTGTACGGCTTCATGTAACGCAGTGTGGCGCTGGGCGATGTGCTGTTGACTGTGTTGCTGTATGTGCCGTTGGTGTAGGAGACCTCATACAGGCGGATGATGCCGTTGGGTTTCTCTGGCGGAGACCAGGTGAGAGTAGCGGTGGAGGAGGTGGTTTTCACTATGGCCAGATCCAGCGGGGGTGAATCCGGCTCTGAAAGACAGATGGAGGCATGCTAAGAGATTTCAGAAGTGTTTAAGGGTGCTTCTGTATGTATATGACACATAACTGGCTCAATACCATCCTCTAGTGTCATAACGAAGATGTAGTCTTCATCGGTCAATGGAGTTTCCCCAATGGCGGTGGACGCCGCCACACGTACCTTATAACTGCTGTACTTGTCCAGACCTGTGGATATAAGCATATATAGTGTTATACGGCAGCCTCAAAAACTATGAAACACTTGGGTCACACTTAAAAATGTCTGGATGTCCTTGCATTAGATATGAAATATTAAAGCAGGATGAATCTGCAAACAAAAGCAACAGCTTTTCTCAGAAATTCACCTTTTTATCATTTATGCTCAGTATCTTTGGTGTTGCTGATTTTTAGTGGATGCATGAAGTTCAAACAGGTGTGGCATAAGTGCCTAAATCTTTTTTGGCATCAATGTATCTTTTTATTCTATTTTCCTATCATAAAATGACCAGTCAATTATCTACAATTCAAAAGTCATTCAAAAGTTTTTAGTTAGATTTTTAAATGTTCTTGAAAGAAGTCTCTTGTGCTTACCAAGGCTGCATTTATTTGATCAAAAATACAGAAAATGCAGTAATATTGCAAAATATTATTACAATTTAAAATAACTGTTCTCTAACTTACTATATTTTAAAATCTAATTTATTCCTGCGATGCAAAGCTGAATTTTCAGCATCATTACTCCAGTCTTCAGTGTCACAAGATCCTTCAGAAATCATTCTAATATGTTGATTTGTTGCTCAAGAAACATTTCTTAGAAACATTATTATCGATGATGAAAACAGTTATTTTAACAGTTATTAACAGTTATATTTTTGTGGAAACCTTGATGGACCATTTTTTCAGGATTCTTTGATGCATAGAAAGTTCAAAAGAACAAAATTTATTTGAAATATAAATCTTTCATAACATTATAAATGTCTTTACTATCACGTTTGATCAGTTTAATGCATCCTTGGTAGTGTACTTATTAGTGTGTTACCTGTGAGCACTGCGGTGGTGGTGTCTGTCATCTTTTGTAATTGCTGATTTGTAAGGAGATTTTCTGCATACACAGTGTAGTGAGTTATCTTGCCATTAGGGTTGAGCGGTGGCTCCCAAGTAACACGGATAGAAGTGGAGGTCAGGTTCTGATAGGACACATTCTGAACAGAGCTGGGTACTGTGGAGAAACACTGGGGTTACTTTATACAGTGGTTGTAAGTTATAACTACTGTTCTTCAACTCTAAGGGTATTTTACCCTGTTCAGTTGTTTTCACTGTAACTTCTGTGGAAGGTCCTTCTCCAATGATGTTTTTTGCCGTCACACTAAATGTGTAATCGGTGAAAGGACTCAGTCTTCTGACCACATACATGATGTGATCAGACGACAAGTCTGCTGTCTCCTCAGTGGCTGGTAGGACTGTCAATCAAAAGGCACAACCAATCAGAAAACAGAAAGCACAAGCAACAGAGCGCAACAATGACTGCCCACCTTTTCAGCACCCATGATAAAGTAATTTTCTCAATAATTTTCTCCATTGGTATTTAAAAAAAATCTTTAATAAAGAATTTCTGGAAGCATTGAACTACCACAACAACATTAAAAAAACTTTACAAAAAAGTATTTTTTATTTACAAAATTCTTTGCCAAAATGCTTCCCATGAAGCACTATGAGGTACAGTAAGCAATCAAATAAAAAAAATGATGGTACAATATAAAACTATTGACTATAAGTCATGGACTACTGTAAGGACTAAGCATAAAATACTTAAAATTAATTAAAAAAAAATCTGATTTATATAAAATACCTATATTTTATATAAAATGTAAATAAAACTAAAACTATATGAATATAAAATATTTGTATATAAAAATGTATATAAAAATACAGGTCAAAGTTGCTCTTTTCACCAATTTCAACCAGTTTTCACAGTGACATTGACTGTGATTGGTGGATTAATCTTTAGGATTATGAGTAGGGGAATAAACGGGGAAAACACACACACACACACACACACACACACACACACACACACACACATGTTGTGTTTCCATGTTTTATGGGGACATTCCATAGGCGTAATGGTTTTTATACTGTACAAACTGTATGTGCTATTGTCCTACACCAACCCTACCCCTAAACCTACCCCTCACAGGAAACTTTCTGCATTTTTACTTTCTCAAAAAAACTCATTCTGTATGATTTATAAGCTTGTTTCCTCATGGGGACCTCAAAAATGTCCCCACAAGGTCAAAATTTACTAGTATTACGATCCTTGTGGGGACATTTGGTCCCCATAACGTGATAAATACCAGGTACACACACACACACACACACACATTTAATTACCAAAATAATTTTTGTGTAATTAGAACAAATCTGGAGAAAAAATACATAAAATTAAACTAATACAAGTGATGAGAGTACATAAAATTACTATTTAAACTAAAATTAAAATGAAAACGGAAAATATAAAAATAAAAGCTAATTAAAAAAAATAAAAGCTAATTCAAAATATGAATAGACACTATAATAGTATATAAATAATCTTAACACGGAGTAAAGTAGGTCTGTTTTGAAAGGTTTATTCATGTTGCTAAAAAATAAATAGATTTTAAATCGTATTTTTACTTACGGAAACCTAGTATGTTAACTTAGTTGTTATTTTGGTTGTGCTTTTAGCAGTAATATTAGTTATCCAAATCACAACAACCTTGAAATGTGAGTGAGGTCATAATGGGTGGAATCAGGGGGAGGAGTTATTTACCCTCTATTCCAATAGTGGTGGCAGCTCTTGTTGGTGGGTTCACCTGCTGCTGGGTGGAGTCTGTGGCCACCGCCCTAGTGGAGCGACGGGGCTGGGAGGGGCTTAAGTTAACCAATGGTGGTTGTTCAGTTCCTCGAGTGAGAGCTGAAAGTTCAGTCAAAGGCTCCTCAGTTACAGCCTCAGTCTCAGCCTGAACAGATGCAGCGGTTCTGTCATGGGTCACTGTGAGCCAGGGTGGAGGTGTGTGGGGGGTGCTCGGGGTCAGAGGAAGGTCAGAGGTCAGTTCCATATCAGTGTTGGAAAAATCACGACCCAAAGCGGGAAATGTTCCGTGTGAGGTGAGAGTCAATGCAGATGCTGTGGTGATGTCAAGTGACCTCGCATTACTACGAAGTGGAGCGTTCTGTAACACAATGACATATAATCAGTAAAGCTGAACCAAATAAAATACTGTGATTGTGTGTGTGTGTGTTTGTGGAGTTTAGTGTGTTTTACCTGTTCTCGCAGGGTGATGTCCTGTACAAGAGTACTGCGGTATAACACTAGAATCCGATAGTGTGTGATCAGTCCGTTCGGTTGGCTCGGGGGTCTCCAGGACAGACGGACCGACGTGGAGTCCACAGCCTCTGCTGTCAGATGAGACACAGCACTCGGGGCTAACAGGGAAATAAATGCACACACATTCAGTTAACAAAACACTTTGCCATACCACCAGGGGCCTTAGCACAGTTCCAAGGGGACCATAAGATGACTTCAAATTACCTAAAATAAGACAAAAATATGCTTGAAAATAAAATTAAAGGTAAAAAAATATATATATTAAAAAGTGCTTTAAATCACAAACGATTTTTTCATAATAAAAAAATCAAAATATAAACAACATATTAAATATAAATGTCTTTAGTGTCACTTTTGATCAATTTAGTTCGCCCTAGCTAAATGAAAGAATTAATTTCTTTAAAAAAAGCTATTGAATGGTAGTGTATTTCCATGTAAAGTCAGGGTTGGATTATTAATGTCCATTACTGGGAACAGCTGATATATTTTCCCATTTCTACAATCCAATGCTGAGAAAAATGCAGCCCTTTATTTATCACACATATTCAGCATCAGATGCTTTGAGGCCTTGAACCAAAAACTAATTTTAGATAAAAGCAACCCTAAGTGAACAAATAACCTTTCTTGTTTTTCCATGCATTTAATAAGCATTTTCTTTTTCAGCACCAACTGGCTCTGTATTAAAAAGCCATTTCCTCCAGCTAAATGAACCCAATTAAAGGTATAATTAGAGATAGCTGATTTCGCAGATAGACTTAATTACACCGAGACCAGTTAAATATAAACCTCATTTATAACTCTCACTTATTTTGACCCCCGAGTCTGAACACTTACAGAAGTCGCAAACACTTACACATTCCCTGAGCCTTCTGTTCTCCAAACAGATGAATCAAAAATTGAATTGTTTTGTATCACATGGCTCCCAATATGTCACCATCAAGCATACACAACCACAGTTTGAGAAAACACATGACACCAAAGATCAATCATAGTGGAGGTCATGTGATGGCAACCTGCATGTCTGAAGGAACTATTCATTCTTCACTGTAGCGGAAAATACACAAGACAAATTTGTGGCAATTCATCCATGAACCACAACTAAAGTGTAGCTAGGTCATGCAGAAAGAAAATGGGGAGAAAAAACAAAAGCAATTCCACATCAGCAGTATCTAAAATGATTCAGCGCTTCTTTAAAATGCAGTCAGCACAGCTACACTTGTTTATTGTGTATATGAGGCAATAACATTTTCATACAATTAACTACAATTTGACAGTCTTTAATCAACAAAATCAGCTGAAGTATATGCTTTGCTTACTCAGGTTCACTTTATCTAATACTGCATCGTGTGTGAAGATTTGAAACATCCACTGTGGCAAATAAAAACAACGAAAGACAAAATCAGTAAGGGTGCAAATAGCATTTCGCAGGTCATAGGTTTACCTATCTATAGTAAAGAAACCTCAGAAGTTAGCTAAACTGATAAAATCTCCCTTTTTGGAAAATATGGGGACATTCTCAATTATAAAATAAAAATAAAGTAGAAATGCAAAAATGTAAGGCCACATTTAGGTAGTAAATGTGACCGTGGACCACAAAACCAGTCATAAGGTTCAATTTTGTTAGTTATGATTAGTTATGATAGGACAATATTTGGCCGAGATACAACTATTTGAATATCTGGAATCTGAGGGTGCAAACAAATCAAAATACTGAGAAAATCACCTTTAGAGTTGTCCAAATTAAGTTCTTAGCAATGCATATTACTAATCAAAAATTAAGTTTTGATATATTTACAGTAGGAAATTTACAAAATATCTTCATGGAACATGATCTTTACTTAATATCCTAATGATTTTTGGCATAAAAGAAAAATTGATCAGTTTGACCCATACAATGTTTTTTTTTGGCTATTGCTAAAAATATACCCCAGTGACTTAAGACTGGTTTTGTGGTCCAGGATCACAAATGTGTATGTATTTTACCTTCTGCTAGTGTTGTAATGTTGATCACTGCTGCCGGTCCTGTGGCCCCTGCTGATTTGGCCATCACGTGGATGTAGTATTGTGTGTATGGAGTCAGTCCAGTGTACATAAATGCCTGTTCGATTGTGCCGTTTTCACTAATAAATTCTGAAATACACACATACATGCACCACATTAGCAAACAAACAATGAGAGGATGTGCTTTGCATTATGTGTGCTAAAGGCAAGACCACACAGCTTCATATCACTGGTCTATATTATATAAAGTTCCTGTAACAGTATGGTGTCTGTCTGATAATATGAAAGGTAACGGGTCAACGGGTGTTAGCAAGTGTTACCTTCAGAGCTGTGGAGCTGGATGACGTAACTGAACCGTCCTGTGATGATCTTTGGAGGATCCCAAGTTAGAGATAGAGATTTAGAAGTGACGTTTCTGAAAACTACATTTTGTGGAGGGTCTTCAGGGGCTGCAACACACATTATTATTATTTTTTTTTTTTATTCTGATTAGTTACAGAAACTTGAGATTATGGATTACTGTGAAAATTGTGATATTTAGATAAGGCAACATTAAAATGGCATTTGCAACAGAAATTAACTTCTGTAATTTTCCCTATTGCTATAATTCCAGATATTATTATAAAAATAATGAAAACACATTTACAACATGTATTAATGAATCATGCACAAACACATCAGAGAGATTTATTGAAGTAAATAGTCTTTTGAAAAGAATTCGAATTTTAATTACTGTTCAAAATTTTGGGGTCAGTAAGATTGTTTTTAGGTTTTTGACAGAAGTCTCTTATGATCACCAAGGCTGCTTTTATTTAATTGAAAAGAAATTATTGTGAATTAATATTATACAATTTAAAATAACTGTGTTGTTTGTTTGTTTTTTAAATACATTTTAAAATGTAATTTATTCCTGTGATGCAAAGCTGAATTTTCAGCATCATTACTCCAGTCTTCAGTGTCACATGATCCTTCAGAAATCATTCTAATATGCGAATATATGCTATATTTGCTATATGCTATATTTTATAGAACTTCTAAAGCATTTAATGCATCCTTGCTGAATAAAAACATTAATTTCTTTCCAATAAATAAATAAATAAATTGGTAAAAAAAATAACTTTACGTGAAGCCTTTAAACATAAGGCATCCTAAAAGTATTATAAAAGTAGTATATATAAAATGCATTAATTATGCATTGTAATGCACCTTATAATGCATTGTATGACCTCATAAATAACTGTAACCACAGTTGTAATACTTATCTATTAATTTGTACACCTTTAGGAAGTATAATGCATAAAAATACATCACAAACGACCAATTTCAGATGTAACTAAGAATCTGAAAATATTATAAGGCATTTTATCTTTGGTTACAATTATTTATGACAAGATAAAAGGAATTACAACATACACTATAGATACCTTTATAATGCATTATACATAAAATCTTACTGACAAATTTGTGAACAGTAGTGTAGATATACAGTATTTGAGAATTAAGAGTGTGTATGTGTGATAACATACCAGCCTCTGGCATGCGGACCATAGTGCTGGCAATCTGTCCCTCCCCGTCACTGGTGAAGGCGGAGACTTCAAACACATAAGGATTGTAGGGGTGGAGCTCATCAATCTTCACACTGATTGGAACAATCCAGATGGAGGCGGGAGGTACGGCTGAGAGCGTAACCGTGGGCAACACAGCAGAGGTCAACTGGGAAGACTCGGACGGGCTTGGAGTTCCACGAGATAAGATGTCTGCTGCATCCTAGAACACACACATGCACATAAACACCCTGAAACTAATTGTAAAGAAAGATTGGTAAATCAATGCATATAGCACTGTGGTTTGAATTTGGTTCAGCTGTCCTGTATCACTTCAAATATTCATTAATGCAAGTACAAACATACGTTGCAGTGAGGCAGAGCTCCGTTCATGATGTCCTCTGCGTTGAGCTCGAGCATGCGGACGGTCTGGCCTGTTCGAGCATGTTTGACTTTTACGGCAAACTTTGTGATGAGACCATTAATGCGTACAGGTAGAAACCATGTCACTAACACAGATGTGTGATCCTCAGCAAACGCTGTGAGGTTTGACACCAGACCAGGGGCTGTGAGATTGAACATAAAGGCATGGATCAAAATATTAAGCATACTGTATGAAAATACATACAACCTCACTTACAGTAGGTATCACTTTTAGGCATCATAAGTAGAAATTGTTTGCTAGCATATAAACTACCATTCAGAAATTTGGGGTTGGTAAGATTTATTATCGTTTTTGAAGGAAGTTTCTAATGCTCACCAAGGCTGTATTTATTTGATCAAAAATACAGTAAAAACAGTAATACTGTGAAATATTATTCCAATTTAAAATAACTGTTTTCTATGTGAATATATTTTAAAATGTAATTTATTTCTGTGATGCAAAGCTAAATTTTCAGCATCAATACTCCAGTCTTCAGTGTCACATGATTCTTCAGAAATCAGTATAATATGATGATTAGCTACATAAGAAATATTTCTTATTGTCACTGTTGAACAAATATTCCAATCAAAGTGCACACATCCAATCGGCCAAAAGCTCAATGCAGGTGCTCAACCACAAACAATTTCAAACAGGAAAATCAAAATTGGCACACCACAGCTCCAAAAGTAGAAAAATATTTAATTATGTTCTCACCACAGGTGACGTTTCGAGCCTAAAAGCGCGTCTGATGAAGAGCTTTTAGGCTTGAAACATCACCTGTGATGAGAACATAATTAAATATTTTTCTACTTTTAGAGCTGTGGTGTGCCAACTTTGATTTTCCTTATTGTCACTGTTGAAAATAGTTGCTTAATATTTTTGTGACAAAAGTGATTCTGTTTATCAAAGAATCCTGAAAAAAAAGCAAGTTCAAAGGAACAGCATTTATTTGAAATCTTTTGTAACATTATAAATATATTTACTGTCACTTTTGGTCAGTTTAATGTGTCCTTGCTGAATAAAAGTATTAATTTCTTTACAAAAAAAAAAATTATACTGACCCCCAACCTTTGAATGGTAATGTAGTTTTGGCCAAAATCTAATGCATCATGTGTCCAGAATGCATTGTGATGAGTTCAGAGAATATTTTAATTACAGCAAAATTGAGGAAAATGTCAATTATAAATATATTTAATTCTTTACTAAAAGTGTTCCATTTAATTAAAATGTACAATTTCACCCAATACTGCTGTTTTGTGTATTTTTGTGCTTATTATAGTATCAAAATGCGCATCACAGGAGGAGTGCTATTAGTGTTTTATACATGAGTGACCATTAACAAAGTTGCTGTCCATGAAGAGCATTTTGAATCAGTTACTTAAGATGCCGTATTTGAAGACAGCGAAGAGGCTCACTAGGGCTTCATAAAAAGCTTTTGTAAAATATATAGATATTGCTTACGGGCCTCTGCGGTTTTGTAGTACAGAGACTGGCTAAAAGGTCCAATTCCTGCTTTGTTTACAGCTGCAACCTATAAAGAAAAGACAGAAGAAGAGTTTTTAAAAAGCAATATAGCCAAACCGCACACAGCATGAGAACGTCTGCTTGATTTATCACCATGACTTAGCAGAGATGGTTATATAAACACTGTGAATGAAGATTCCAATGCAAGATGATCTACTCTCACTGTTGAACAAATATTCCAATCAAAGTGCACACATCCAATCGGCCAAAAGCTCAATGCAGGTGCTCAACCACAAACAATTTCAAACAGGAAAATCAAAATTGGCACACCACAGCTCCAAAAGTAGAAAAATATTTAATTATGTTCTCACCACAGGTGACGTTTCGAGCCTAAAAGCGCGTCTGATGAAGAGCTTTTAGGCTTGAAACATCACCTGTGATGAGAACATAATTAAATATTTTTCTACTTTTAGAGCTGTGGTGTGCCAACTTTGATTTTCCTTATTGTCACTGTTGAAAATAGTTGCTTAATATTTTTGTGACAAAAGTGATTCTGTTTATCAAAGAATCCTGAAAAAAAAGCAAGTTCAAAGGAACAGCATTTATTTGAAATCTTTTGTAACATTATAAATATATTTACTGTCACTTTTGGTCAGTTTAATGTGTCCTTGCTGAATAAAAGTATTAATTTCTTTACAAAAAAAAAAATTATACTGACCCCCAACCTTTGAATGGTAATGTAGTTTTGGCCAAAATCTAATGCATCATGTGTCCAGAATGCATTGTGATGAGTTCAGAGAATATTTTAATTACAGCAAAATTGAGGAAAATGTCAATTATAAATATATTTCATTCTTTACTAAAAGTGTTCCATTTAATTAAAATGTACAATTTCACCCAATACTGCTGTTTTGTGTATTTTTGTGCTTATTATAGTATCAAAATGCGCATCACAGGAGGAGTGCTATTAGTGTTTTATACATGAGTGACCATTAACAAAGTTGCTGTCCATGAAGAGCATTTTGAATCAGTTACTTAAGATGCCGTATTTGAAGACAGCGAAGAGGCTCACTAGGGCTTCATAAAAAGCTTTTGTAAAATATATAGATATTGCTTACGGGCCTCTGCGGTTTTGTAGTACAGAGACTGGCTAAAAGGTCCAATTCCTGCTTTGTTTACAGCTGCAACCTATAAAGAAAAGACAGAAGAAGAGTTTTTAAAAAGCAATATAGCCAAACCGCACACAGCATGAGAACGTCTGCTTGATTTATCACCATGACTTAGCAGAGATGGTTATATAAACACTGTGAATGAAGATTCCAATGCAAGATGATCTATTCAAGACAACAGATCCATCAAATACTGTCACACGTACAAACACTCGCTCGAACAAAAGCTAAGAGAGTCAATTCAGAGTTCACGGTATACCCAGCCAATGAATTCACGAGACAAATGAGGGAAAACAGAGATCCCTCGTGGATCCAGAGTTCTCTCTAGGAGATGAATAATTCATAGCTGATAAATTATTGAGTGGGATCAATGGAATAGAGGCCACTGGCAACTTTCCCATGGACAGTTAATCCAGTAGTGTCTGCTGAACGCTGGACCTTCCCTACAAAGCACTTTCAGAAAAGTTTTTACTAGCTGCTGTTTCATTAGAGGTGACAAAAACACACCACAATGACATTAAACAAACAGAAAACACTAAAAAGGGACATTAATGAGGATCTAACATCTCAGATACACATGGGCTGGATATAATATTAGTAACATCTATAGATGTATTAATTTCCAGGGCTTAATAAGTAGCAGGTCATGTTTTTTGTCTTCAGAAGAGCTTTGGTTCTTTGGGGAATAGTGCGGTCTTTGGAGTTGGAAAGAAATGCCCTGGAATACTAGCGTATTATGAGGAAACATGTTCACTCTCATAATCTTTTATTCTACCATGTAGAGGAATCAGGATATATAATGAAGTTGCAATAATGTGGGTATCATCTGATTTTCCTCAAGTGTTCACCTGTCTGCATAAA